TGGACTATGTATTTATATTGTTGTCTGATTCGGGTATGTATTGATGGATTTGATGCTGCTTAGTGTTGTACATCCTTCACGTCTACATGTTAAGACTCAGCAACCCTCTACTCGCCGTTAGTGGGCACCCCCGCCTTGTCACTAACAATCATATCATATTAACAATTCTATTTCATATTTTAAAATTCATATCATTTCATGGCAATTTCAAAACTAATATCTTATCAACCATATTTTGCTCAGTAAACAGGCCCTAAAGCCTTCGAATACTTTGATCATTCTCTAATGTCACCTATTTCTTCTCTCTTGTCTAAAATTTTGAGTTTTCTCCATCTTTTCGTCTCTCAACTCACATTTTTCATTTCCCAGTACACATTTTCTTCTTTCACCTTGCTTTTTCTTAAGACTCATGCAAATACAAGAGGAACTACAAAATTTGAAAGGGAAGGGAATAATAAAAAAAAGGAAATGATTCATCTTTACAACATATACCAATGGAAAGACAGTGATCATACCCAACAAAAGTTGAGTCTTATTCATGTAGAAGATGACCATTCTAATAGCAACCCCATGGTATCATATACATATTCCATCACTGGTAAATTGAAGCAAGGAGTTGCCCATTAGACCTGTATCAATTAAGCAAAACTTTAAGATCAGTAGCTGATATCTTGAAACATACTTTAAACGGTGTATATTTCATTCAGTCTCCCAGCACCCCCCAAAGAAACCATGTTTACTCTTTATCTGGCTAAACGCCAAATCATCAAAAAGCTAAATCGTGATCAAGAAGGAAGAGAATAGTAACAGAATTGCAAATACTTGAATCGCCCCAATGCATTAGGATTTTAACTACTCCTGGGTATATGTTATTATTCAATCAAGTATGTATGCGCGCACACACACACACACACACAGAGAGAGAGATATGGCTAATCTTCATGTCTTGAACCAGATTGTTTAAAAGAGATGACCAGGTTACCAGCTAAATGTTACAGAGAAATGAATTAAACTCATAATATAAATAACAGAACAGGATGCAGAGGATGAACCACCAAATGTAGTGGCTGGTACCTGATACAAAAGGGCCGAGTTTAAAAAAGGTGGAAAACTGAAGATTGAGCAGAGGAAAAGAATTGCCTTTCGATTGCCAGGCAGGAGGTTTGCTGCTGAATGTTCTATGAAACCACAATTCCTAAAGTTCTTGATGTGTAGCTTGATTCTGAAATTGAGGGCTACATAGAAATGGGTCACCCTGTTACTCATCAAACTTTCAAGAGAGAGAGGCAGTAAAATGATATAAAGTTAGAAATTTGATAGCCCAGTGAAATGGTGTCACAAAACATTCTATTTAAAAAAAAAGGAATAATTGGAATCACATGACAATGTGTACATAGAGTGGACCCAATGCAAAAAAAAAATGAAGCTTCTCTGTATAAAGTAAGCTTTGGGCGTAGTTCATCTTTTATATTACTTTATAAGTAAATAATACTGCACTTCAACTCGACAAATAAGAAGTTGATTATCTCTATTTACATCTCAGAATTGGTTGATTTTGATGGCTGAACACACTTTGCAGGGATCCATCCTATTGAATTCTTCTCATTGTCATAAATCACCATTTTATCTTGCATTGATATATCTGGAAAAAAACACAACCAAAACGAAAGTATAATAGCTCAAGTCGGGATAAATATATTAGCATTATTATGCCATATAATCCAATATTACCTCCGATTATGTTAATATCATCTAGACCTGCTTCGGTACCGTTTAGCACCCCCAAACACACACTGCCTTTCGACTGCAAATGAGTTTCAAAATTCAAACTAAATTCGCAGTAAAATTGATTACAATCAAACAGAAAACAATAAAAATGATGTTGAAGAACACTTACTGATATGATAAGATATGATTCCGGGGAGATTTCAAATTGAGATTTGGCCTTTCGTCCATTGGCAAAGTTCAGTGCAAAAGGTTTGAAATATTGCTTGACATCCTGTACACTTTTGAAAGGCTTCTTTCCCTTCCAGCACAGTGGGAGAGTATCGTCATCGTCCGCTCTTCTCAAGGGCTTGCTACTTAGTCCTTTCTCCACCTGTATGCAGAAATGAAATAAAGGTCATACACTCATACAAAACAAAACACTAATAGAAGTAAAGGTGAATCACTTGTAAGATACTATAGAAAGACTAAATGTATGATACTCCACCCGTTGCGCTGAAGTTTTCCAATGTTCCCTATTTGGCTGTCCCCAAAAACAAACCTTTTCCGCTTCCCAATTTAAGTCATGACATAAGCATAAACAGACCATTGTATCATCTGTCCCAAAAAACCTATCAAGTTACTTTTTATTTACTTTAGTAATACACTTTTCATTGCAGGGCATGAGTGTCCATTTAAAAGAACATTTATTCTCCTTATCATGTGTGCCAGTCAATGCTGGGAAACTCCTACGGAACAGAGGTAGTAGTTAATCGTTACACTCTAAGAAATACTAGTCTATATCACCAAAAAACATTCAGAGGTTATCATGTAGGAACTAAATAAATAATCTGCAGCTCACCAAAGAAACTAAAGCTTGGTATGGCTCAAAATGCAGATAGGTATAAGAACTCCCACTGTCAAAGATCACACGAAAATTCTTAAACTCTGTACGAATACCATAAAAAATCAGCTCTGCATATCCTGGCGAGTAGTGCTTCCTGTCATGTATCACTGGTAGTCAGCTCTCTGAGAGCTAAACCAAATTATACAAATTAATTAAAATATAAAACACACACACACACACACACACAAGTTTATCGCCTAGGCGATGCCTTACAAACTATCTTTTCCATTTTCACTGTTCATTTTGTAATCTAAATCAGGTGTAGTTGAGTTGTATGAGAAAGAGCAAACAGATTACTGGTAATCACGCAACATTGGAGCCCAAACTACTTGTGAAGCATCATAGACTTGATCGCCAAAGAAGAGATATCCTCCTTTCCCACTCAAGCAATGGCCAACAACATTACGCACCAGACCCATTTTCTTAAGCTGTGACAAAATGCTGGTGGGTCCTTTCCCTAGTCCAAGTACTCCATCTACAGGATGGTAAGAGTGACCAGCTACCTGGTCATATCCACATCTAAAACCGCAAAAAAATGTAAGGTCAGTATAAATGTTGGACTGACTATTTCTTTGTTGAAAATGAATCTTGGAGGAGTTATTTACATTTAAAGTCAAAGATACAAATGGAAACCTATCCAAATATCAAACAGTCACTTCTAGAAAGACATGTAAATAGCATAGAACAATTATGTCTAACAAAGAGAATGCCGTCTTGTTTTCTCATATGTTTGAGAAAATGAAAACCTTACATCTAACCCTCCCCCCCCCCAAACCATGCAATGGGCGGGAGCCTTTGAGGCACAGGGGTAATGTTGTTTTCGTTTGTGAGACAAGGAAAACCTCGCTAATCACATATATAATTACAAAATTCTATGTACATGTTGTACTTCTAACAAAAACTAGGTGTGCATGTTAATGAAGAGAAACTAAAAAGAAATGTTTAAATACCATTGAAATTTGAAATATTAATATTCAAGAATATAAGGTTACAACAAAAGCTCTTTTCCCTAGTTCTAGTGCTTTCTATTCTGTGACTAATTGACTATATCACATTATCCATACTCATAACTCATAAGTCATAATGCACTCTACACAAAGACACAATCACCACATTAGCTAGAAGGGAGCATTTTAAGTTTTTAAAAGAGAAATGAAGACCACCTTTAGAGAAAAAAAGTGTAACATAGAAAAGGGGGAAAACACTGACCCAATAGCTAGAGTAGGTTCAATCTCAATCCCGTTGGTGAGATGGAAGGAAAAAGAATCCGTAAGCAGGACGCCGAGGGTAGAAGCACCATCTGCATACTGAACCTCATAGTCACATTGTTCTAGAGTCTCACATTTGTGTTCACTTGACTGCAATGACGTGCAGAGAGGGTCTTTACAACCGACAAGGTCATTATTGGGCTTGTATAGCGGGTGAAGCGTCTGCAATTACACGATTAGTGTATGTATGTATGTATATATATACATATATACACACACACACACACACATATATGTATGTGTGTGTGTGTGTATATATATATATATATAAGTGGATACAATTATGTAATAATGAATTACTCCATATTATTATGAAATACTCTGTAGTCTCTAACTAAGACATAACATTGTTACTAGAGGAAAAATCGTATAAGGAATGGGTGATAAAAACAGTTACCTTCATGCAACGACTACAGGGAGCATCACACTGAAGCCACGTGAGATCACTGCCAGTGTCGGGATCAAGAAAATAGGGCTTCGGCGGCCTCCCTACAAAGACTTGAGCAAAATAATAGCTGCAATAAACATTTTAACCCCAATCAACTGATTGCAGATTTTGTCCCATTAAATATGCAATAGTTAAAAGTATTACTCCAGAATATTAGATTGATAGTCAAACAGGGTGGAAAAAGTACGGAATACGCTACTACTGCTACCAGTCCATTTCTTCCAATACCTCATTATCAGTACACTTATGGGCTAACTTCAAAACTTTTCAGTAATGTCAAAGAACACAAGGTCATTTCTAGTCTGAGTATAAATTATAAAAAAAACTACAGCATAAAGGATAACGAAATATGCATATATAATTAGCAATAATCTACAGCCATTAGCATCAGAGAGTCACAGCTCGAAATACAATAATCAATGTACTAAAAAAATTCACATATACTGAAATCCAAAGCCAAGAATCGCATACCCATTGGGATAAACATCGCCGTGCAGTGGGAGGACAATAGAAGACGGAGAAGAAGAAGAAAGTCGTCCGGATTTCCAAAATTTCTCTGCCGCCGATGAAATTGACAGCACCGTGAGAAGCACCAGAGCCGCCAGCTTCACTCCGCCCATAGCCGCCAGCTCTCTCCGGTCGCCCTCAATCCGCGTTATCGATCGTTTAAGCGTACTATTAATAGCATTCAAATCCGCAATTCTGAGAACTACCGATAAAGATTGATTGGCATTCTTCCTGGGAGACGTCTCAATAATTTCATACGCTGTTTTAAGATGTGGAGTTTTAGTAACTGCACTTACTGTATACCGGATACCGAGTAAATTTAATAGAGAAGTGCACATTTTACAATTCTTTGAATATGCACGGTTTATCCCCAAACATTAAAAAATACACCAAATACTCTTGAATTCTTCAGAAATTGCATGGTTTACCCCTAAAGAATAAAAATTGCACCAAATACTCCTGAACTCTTTGAAAATTATACTGTTTACTCCTGAACATTTAAATAAAGACGACAATTTTAGGGAAAGATACTTTGGAGAATTCACAAGTGCCAGATAAATCATATTCGCAATTCTTGTGCGTGGAAGCAACGCACTCCCTATCTAATAGTTTAGGACCAACGATACAACGGTTTAATTTGTTCAAGGGTATTTGGTGCATTCTTTAGTGTGCAGGGGTAAATCGTGCAATTTTTGAAGGCTTCGAAGGTAAACGGTGCACTTTTTAAAGTTCAGGGGTAAAGCATGCAATTTCTAAAGAGTATGGGGGTAAACAGTGCACTTTACTCAAATTTAATACCACTAGAAATACTTCTAAGCCTTCGGCTTCAAACAGGGGCTTCAAACTTTCTCTCTACGATGCCAGCTATAACTTACCTTACAGATTCACTAGAAATGGGATTGATGCTCCGGAGCTTCAAACTAGGGCTTCAAACCTTTAATTAAATTGAAACGAGGATAATTCAAAAAATTACATTCATTAAATTAAAAAAATTAAAACGACAATAATTCATAAGAATTACAATCAATAAAAAAGAACATTTAATAAAAAATACATCAATAAAAAAACTAAGGCAATTTTTTTTTTGCCTTGATCTCTTTTTGTCTTGATCTCGAAGATCAAACATTTGAAGTCTGATAACGTATCAAGGTTGGTTTCCATTACTACAATCTCTTCCTTGTGGTTCTTTCTTCTTTCCCTCTCTTCTTCTCTAAAATTGAACACCCGAAATTGTTCAACCATTGCCCGACCGATATTATCGTGAGAAGAAACAGAGCTGGACCTTCCAGAACCCGAGGCAATGGATTTTGCCTTCTTTCTTTCGATCAGCCGTGAAATGTGATCCTCGTCATCGGAATTGTCTACGTTGAAGGGAGGCATTTGTTTGGACGAATCGATAGTGTAATCGACCTCAACCTCGGCCTGGAGGATCTTTTCTTTGAGGATCCGGCCCCGGGATTGTTGAGTTGTTGCCATTTCGGTGAACGGCTTAAAATTCTCCAAAGATCAATGATCACCTTGCCTTGGTGCCCGTCGTCTTGATACCGAGCCGTGGCAAGTCGGAGAACATCTGCATCGTTCATCCCGCTCTTCCGGGACCGAGAGCATTCCTCGTAAACCCCGATAAACTTTCAGACTTTATGGTCAATGTGGCCCCATATCAAAGTGAGTTGGTCTCGAGTACGGTACGAGGCTTCCTTGTTCATTGCCGTAAATATGTTCTCCTCGATACGATCCCACATCGCATCCTTTGTTTGCTCCGAACCTTTAAAAAGTATATAATTGAATGGAATTTATTTAACACAAATATATAATACAAATATATAAATAAGAACACAAATATTTAGAAAACATATAATTTTTACCAACGACAGGAGGATACTCGAAGACGTCAACCCAAGCCGACGCCAACAAGGACTCTTCCTCCGGCATCCACTTTTGGATTGATCGTTCCGCCTCGGTCATCGGTTTGTCATCTTTTGCTTCGTGACTCTTCCGGCGTGCACTTTTTTTGGTTCCCGATGGTCCCGATTGAGTCTCTGGAACCGAATCTGGGTCATCAAGGTTCACCGATGTTTGCGTTTCGAACAACGCCAGATTACTCCTGTATTGTTGGAAGATCCACATCACGTACTCGTTTGGCTCGAGACCATTGGGGGAAGAACTCGAGGAATTCATGTTAACGAACATTGAAAAAAGGAAAGATGTGAAGAATATTGAAGATTGGGTTTGATATTTATAAAAAATTAATTAAAGAATTTTTTAAAGTTGTAACGGCAAAATTAGCTGTTGGAGGGGGGGAATAATTGCGTTAAATGTTTGACGCAACACAGTGATGTCCGGATGATGCCCCAAGAGGGGCGGTGTTTAACGTCGAAGAGGCGTTAAACGCCCCATGGCGCCCCCAGCGTTAAGGGCATTTCCATTACTCTAACCGCTCGTATCTTGCTCTTTTTTACTACTTTCTTTCCCGGGTTAAGGAGCAATATAGAATTAAAACAATGATAAAAGCCCAAAATAAGAGTGAAAAGATTAAATCTCCCAAATAGGATTCTGAATACAGCTCGCCGTTAGCAAGCAAATAGTCGTCAAAACATTTCTAATTACTCGTAAAATCATAATTAGCTTCTTCATTAGAGCGTGGAGAAGAACAACCAAATAAATTAGCTTGTTTCCCAATTCATCTGCTTCTTACTTAGTTGAAGAAGATGGCGGACAATGAAGGCACTTGATCGGATGAAATTGTTGACGAAGATAAGCGAACTGCGACAAAGAAAATGGAAAAGTGAAAGAAGGTATTTATCCGAATCTGAGTTTTCATTGTTGTTCAATTGCCTTTTTCCAGTAGTTATATGGTGAAGTTTTAAGAGATTTCATTGCGAGTTTTCCTTGTTGTGTAATTGCATTTTTCCAGTTGTTGTATGGTGATGCTCTGAGAGATTACATGGGGACTTATCGTTGTTGTTCAAATGTGTTTTTCTAGTAGTTTATATGGTGATGTTTTGAGAGATTGCATTGTGAATTTTTGTTGTTCAATTGCATTTTTAGAGAAGTTGTATGGTCATGATGTTAAAGATTGGATTCTGACTTATCGTTGTTGTTCAGTTGCATTTTCCTGAAGTTATATGGTCATGTTGTTAACGATTGCATTGTGACTATTGTTGATGTTAAATTGCATTTTCTAGTAGATCTAAGGTCATGTTGTGAGGAATTGCATTGTGACTTATTGTTGTTGTTCAATTGTGTTTTCCAGAAGTTATATGGGCATGTTGTTAAAGATTGCATTGTGACCTATCATTGTTATTCAATTGTGTTTATCTAGTAGATCTATGGCCATGTTGTGTGGAATTCCATTGTGACTTATCGTTGTTGTTCAATTGCGTTTCCAGAAGTTATATGGTCATATTGTTAGAGATTGCATTGCTTTATCGTTGATTTTCAATTGTGTTTTCTAGAAGTTATATGGTGGTCATGTTGTTAGAGATTGCATTGGGACTTATCATTGTTTTAAACAATCTTTTAATATACAGGTATCTCGTAAATTTGTGAAGAAAGGTAACACTTATTGTCATGTGCTCAAGACAATATGTAGAATTAAAGGTGTGTTGAGAAAGGAGGAGCTTGACGTGTTAAGAGGCACAGTTTTTAGAAAATTGTTGGATGTTCATGAGGCTAGATGGATTAGTAATGTAACGCCCTGCGACCCAGTCTATTAGAATTGATTAATTTAATTAATTAATTACTAACTCGGACCAGAGTCGGGGAAAATAAAATCCTTAGAAAAATTATTTGAACACGTCATAATATTCGTTTTGACTTCCTAATTCCGGAAACGCTGTAACACCCTAATCCGTCCAGGTCTGCAGCCCCTTTAAGACTAAAGTATTAACTTGGTAATCGTAAAATTTAAAACTTTTCAAACACTTTTATTTATCATAATAATATTTTTCATATCATAAACAGTACAGAGTTTTCAATATTGCGGAAGTTTAACAAATCATAACCACAAACATAATTTATTTATATTCTTTAATTCAGAACCATCACATCCATTCCGACTATCTCGCCTCCGTCTGCCTCCAGGATTACGTCACATCATTCTATTGACCTGCGTGTAGCAAATAAAACACACTACACGCTCAGCGGTAAAGCTGAGTAAGCATATCTAATGCGTCAAACATCCACATAAATTGAATCTCAATTCATAATCAACCATTTGATATCATGCACATAATGTTCAGTTCAGATATTCAATAATCAATATTCAATTTTTAACATTCATTATTCAATCATTCAACATGTATATTCATCATTTGTCATTCAACAATATCCTTAAACTATTTTAGTCTAAGGCCAATCACTTTAATATTTGTCAACCCTTAAATGAATTCTAGTTTAACTAATTAAACTATATTCCAGTATACAGAGTACTCCTAATAATCCTTAAGCTAGGCCTAGTTTAAGATAAAAGGGTTTTGGAAATCTTAAACTTACCTTCACTTAAGGCCAACCAAAAACTGACAGCGTAGTGTTCACTGTTGGGTGGGTGGTACCCCCAAACGAGTAGGTACTCAAGTTTGGTTCTTGGATCCCGTACGTACGTTTTAACCCTAGCCACCGGGCATCATACCCGCAAGGCCTAACTTATATATGTATATCTTAGAGTTCTTCTAGATACCTTTCAAATCAGCATCAATATGGGTATATCTTAGAGGTCTTCTAGATACCCTTAACAATACATATTATTTTCACAAGCATCAATATATTCATTATGATTTAATCATT